TAACTAAAGAGCTGATTTCAGTGTGGGATTATATTGCAATTTATCTTAAGTATGTTAGCTCAGCTGGGCATACATCAGCTAATAGGAGGTTTATTCTGAACACAGATTTAGATTACTTTTAATTAAGAAAATTCAACTAAAAGGTAAGTTTCCAGTTGTGGGTATTCTGTGTCTGGTGTGTGCATGGAGAGTATAGAACTATTAAACTGAATGTAAGATAAGCAGTCTATACACCTGGTTTGGCATCATGATAATGGGCAACGCTTTTCTATCGTTACGGGTGTGTCCTCAATTATAACTTTCTCTGGTGATAACATTGTTTTGGTAAGGAAAACACATCAGCAACTTTAAAGCTAAATTAACTGTGTTTATGTTTTAGTGTAGCAGGTCAAACTATTTCACTCAATGAACCAACTTGTAAAGCTACCCCCAGTTTTACAGGGTCATCCTCTCTCTGGTGATTATTGGTGGACTTTTGGATGCCTCCTGAGAATGGGGAAGGAGAAAGCTCAGGCAGGTCTCTAAGCAGACCTGTTTATTTTGTACAGATGGTGCAAATGAACAAAAATTGTTGGGTTTCTCTTGGGACCTTTCCCCGCAAATACAAAGTAAGGGTAGTCAGTTCCTTCCTCACCCTACTGCCTTACCCAGGTGCCTGGTGTACACTGAATACAAGTGTTAGTTGTTACTTGGTCTTGGGGGAAGGGGTTGAACAGGAAATTAAGGAGCTTTATCTGATTGTCTGACCTTGTTTCCATATGAGTAGCAAAGCATCAAGGTAGGCTATTAGTTCTCCCTTCTGAATCTTGCTCCAGGAAGATGGATGTTATTAAGAGTGCTGTTTGGACAAGAACTGTGGAGAACATGAAGGTCAGAGGCCTTACTGCATGTTCAAGAAACAATTTGAGAAGTACTGACTCCTTTCAAGACTCTTGCAGATGAGCTGAGTGGACAGTTTCCAAACGGCAGCCAAACAGCAGTGGGTAACAGTACACAAAGAGCCATGGCAGCTCCAAGCTGAGGGCTGTGGGAGGAGGGAAGTATGCTGTCAGGCAATAGTTTTATACCTTGATATTTTCTTTCCAGAGCAAATCCTAGCCCACCCTTTGAACAGAAAATGTACAATGTGTTCTCTTCCACGGTATGTAACTCCCTACCATTTACAAAATCAAAGGGAACTTCTTGCTTAACAATGTAATTGATATAAACTGACCCTTCAAGAGAAATAGAATGATGAATCCAGAGCTGGGTTTTTGCGCACTCTGTGCTACGAAATGGTTTTAGACTTTTTTCTTCTGTCTCCTCTTCCCACGAAATGGATGCTGTCCACTTGCTCTCTGAGAATGACTTAGCAGCTTTCAGAGCTGGGACACTTATAGAATATAGCAGGGTGGAGAAGGCAGATGACATGGGTGGGCTGGAAGGAAGAGAACTATGTCTGGGACAAGGATAGAACAAAAATAAAGGTGAGGGGATGAAACTGGTGAGAAATCTTTGGCCAGGGCAGAGAGCAGAAGGAGAGGGAGCTATGTCTGCTAGTGCCATTCTACTGCCTTTCTGCAAAGGCTTTGAGATGATAATCAACCACAGCATTGATAGAGTATTTGTTGAGAAGCAAGAGGAGCTTCTTGTCCTACTTTCTGTGGAAGTCACTTAATTTCCTAGAAATTCTCTTTAGCTCCACTTCGCCTGCTCTAGCCACCACCTCCCAGCACTAGCAATGTATCCTCCCTTAGGAGGATAGCTTTTCCACTCCAGTGTTGACCTGTCCTCTGTGGCTGTGCTAGAACTGGGAAGGTTCCTTTCTTAGAGTCCCTTACCTCTAGATGCAAGGAAGCAGAGCTCCCCAGCCAAAACTTTGCATGCTCTGTTGCATCCTCACACACCACTGTCAGTTAAAATGGTGTTTTAAAACAGCAGCAGCAGCTGTTTTCCACAGTTGTCCGTATTTCCAGGTATAGATATTTCATAAGGATAACTAGGAGAAGGTGCATTTCTGTTCAGTAGTGGAAGAGCTGGTTGGCCTGAGCATGCTTGTTGACATCCTTCCTCAGGTATGAGCCTTCATCTTACTGGGCTTGCTGATCATCTCAGAACGCTTCTTACTTGTCTCACTGGTGATCAAGGAACCAATAAAGACAGGTGATCTGCTGGACCTGATACTTAAAAAAGAAGAACTGGTGGGTAGCATGAAGATCAGTAGCATCCTTGGGTGCAGTAACCATGAGATAGTGGAGTTTAGGATATGTGTCAGAGGGGTCAACAGAGGTCAGTATTGTTGTAATATCTTCATGAATGATGCAGCAGAGTGCACCCTCAGCAAGTTCAAAGATGATACAAAATTTGGAGCAGTGGTTGATATGCTAAGTAGTCATGCTGTCATTCAGAGAGACGTCGAGAGGCTGGAGAAATGGGGTGACAGGAATCTGATGAAGTTGAGCAAAGAGAAATGCAAAGCCCTGCACCTGGGCTTTGTTGGTGGCTGACAGACTGGAAGGCAAGTTTGCAGAGATGGACCTGGGGATCCTGGTCCATCTGGTTCACCAAGTTGAACAGAAGTCAGCAGTGTGCCCCTGTAGCACAGAAGGCCAACAGCATGCAGAGCTGCCTTCAGAAGAGCATTCCCAGCAGGTTGAGGGAGATGATCCTTCCTTTCTACTCAGCACATCTGGAGTGCTCTGTACAGGACTTGCCAATACAAGAAACTTGAAAATCAAAACCTGACTGGACGCGGTCCTGGACAATCTGCTTTACTTGACCTTGCTTGAGCTGGGGAGCTGGACTAGACAATCTCCAGGGGTGCATTCCAAACGCAACCATTCTGAGTCTGTGTGATTCTGTTTTCCAGCTGTTAGGTGGGCTGGCATTTGTTTTGGGCACAAACAAGTGGTTGAAGGTTATTTAAAAACTAACTTATTAAAATAGTGTCTGATCTTATGCTCCTGATAAAGGTTTGGCACATACAGGCAAGTCACATGGTTACATAATTTATATGTAGACTTACATAGAGACAAGTTCTACACATGCTGTCAGTACAAAGACTCTTCAGTTATTTCAGCAAGAAGGAAAATGCCACCAAATTGCTGAGGGAAAAAGTCTCCAAGCACTTTGCATGGGCACAGCCCATGAGCCCGTGGCAAAAGTCATTCATGAGACTCTTCTCATGAAAGTCAGCTCTGTACTGAGTATCTCTCATCATGGACTTCCATGTGTGAGTACTTGTGCTAGCAATGAAAATTGTGCTTCCATGAGCATTTAAGTGATATAAGAAAGTAAGTCCATTTAATTTTCAACAGGACTTTGAACCCCTTTTGAAAACTGGGTGCATCTTCTAAGCTTGAGAGTTTCTGAAAACCCATGAAGAGTGATCAGTCCTACAAACTTTACCATGAAACTGCTTAATGCATTTACTACTATGCTGTTGGACATTTTATTGACTTGTTCTGCACATACTAGATGAGAAAAAATTATTAAGTCAGTCCCCATTTGGATTTCCTGAAAACAGAAATTATGGAATTTTAAATACAGAGTTGGCTAAATTTTAGCCCACATACGTTTTTGGACATTTGTATTTGAACAACTTTAGGTATTTGAACTGACTTTAGGTATCTTGAGATGCTGGCAAAGCAGCCTGCTGTGAAGACTTGCAGAGCCCTGCAGGGATGTTGTCACGTTTTTATGGGTAACAGTGAAGCAATAAGTATTTTAAAAGTGGAGATAGTTCTACGTGAATCACTGTTGCAGCTCCTGTCCCAAGGAGAGCTCAGCTTTGTACACAAAACTGGACTTTGTTACCTCTAAGATGTTGCCATTCGGAGAGGTGGGAAAGGGATGTAGGCTGTTTGGAGATGCTGCAAAGTAACCACTGAGCTGCCGCTGCCAGCTGTTTCTCCCATGTCTGATTGCAAGTGCTCTTGGTTTGTGCCTTGCCAAAAAAAGCAGAGAAGCCAAATCCAGACAGAATTGAGGGCTCAGGCATTTTATTGGCATCAGAGGCTCTTACATCTGTCCTTGTTGGCTGTGTCTTCATCCCTCACACAGCATTGCCTGTGTCACCTCCCATTTCAAGGTGCCCTCACAGAGTAGGACCTCCAGGGAGGACACTAGTTCAAGGAGATGAGGGTCCCAGATCCATGTAATACGGAGCTGAAGGTACTCCTACTTCACACTCCTACCAGCTTCTGGACCAGACAGGGCTCCTCAGCCCTTTCTCTTCCTGTCAGGAGCATGTCCCTTCTTTCCTCCTTCCTCCTTCTCCCTCTTGCCATTGGGATCCAACCCAACCTTTCCCTATGTGGCTCTACCTCCTGCAGGATGGTGCTACCTCTGCTCACCTCCTCCCACAGACATGGACTGCCATGGAGTCCAGCAAAGTAAAAGCATGTTGAGGAGCCTGTGCTAGAGGAGATGGGGTTGTCCCAGGTACTACACGTGCTACGGTGGGTGTTAGCCCCGGTCTTCTCTGTCCTTCCTCCTGTCTTGCCAAGTGCCTTACAGATCTCCCCTAGGATTTGGTGGTCCAGGTCAGATCAGAGCACGACACCAGAGGATCCAGAAGGGGGACAAAGCTCCCTTTCCACCATGTACTAGCAGAGAAGTCTGCATGTTGACTAGCAGACTGGCAGTGCTCTCACCTCTCCTGTCAGCACTCGGATAAGGAGGCAATGGTATCAGAGCAGCCTATTTTGTCAGCCATTTTCGGTAAACTCTCTACAAAAGAGTCTACAGTCGGTATCCATTCACTCCCGGCAGCTGCCTGTTTTTACCTGGTCTGCGGGTGCTTATGGTCATGGGTGGTCATGGGCTGGGAGCCTCCTGCCCATTCTGTGACAATGACTATAAAAGCTGCACAGACTTTCAGGACTAAAACCATCTCCAGGCGCTGACCTGCTGTGCAATAGGATAGCAAAGCATTTGCTTCTTACTTTATGAGTAAGTGGGGCTTGGGATTGTGTCAGGCTGTGGCTGTGTACTAACCTGGCTGTGCCTTCCTTCCACAGGGAACGATCTCTTTCTGGTTGCAGTCCATGAGCTGGGACATGCACTGGGTCTGGAACACTCCAATGATCCTAGTGCTATCATGGCTCCTTTCTACCAGTACATGGAAACACACAACTTCAAACTGCCCCAGGATGACCTCCAAGGAATTCAGAAAATCTATGGTGAGCAACACTATCCACTCATCTATTTACATTGACCTCGAGTCTAGTGAGTATTTTACAGCCACAGACAGGTAGCACCCAAAATGCTTGCAGCTGGTGGGTTGGATTTCCTGCCATAAGCTGAACTGCTTAAAGCCCTTGATCCACAGCCAAGTATCAGACGACTGTCCCGGTGGCAATATCTTTGCACAAGTCAGGATAATCAAACCACTGTGATCTCACTGCTGCTCCATGTTTCATTATGTCCCCAATATCAAGGAGCACTAGAAAGAGAAAAACAGGCAATTGCTGTACCCAAGGTTTGTCCTTTAGGAGCAGCCAGTGCAAATAGAGGGGAAGAATGCGAAGAACATGGAACATCAAGGAAAGGTAAAAAGTGTTTATGCACTCATTTTTTTCTCCATATGTAGAAGGTGGGGAAAAAAGTTTGGATCTGCTTAGGGAACACTTTTAATTTCCATCTGAACATTGTTGTACATGTGCCACAAAGATATGGGCTCAAGGAAAAGCCAGAGAAAAGGAGGCAGAGGGATTATGGGAGAAAACCAAGGGACTGGAGATGAAGTGGTACCATGTGACAGTATAATGGATACCAGGGTGGGAGGACAAGGACTTTCAGGGAATTATTGGCCGAAAGAGACTCTGGGAGCAGAAGGAAATGCAGGTTTTAGAAGCCACAGTCAAGGGGAGGCTGAGCTAGAAGATGCTAATGGATACAGTCTGTGGCAGCCCGTGGAAAACAGGCTTTGTCAGAAGTCCCTGGTTTCATTCTTTGAGGAAAGTGCAAGTTTGACAGAGAGGTTACTTAATAAATGTAGCATAGAGCAACTAAGCTATGTAGCTAGGCAACATTTGCAGCAGCTTGACATCTGGAGTCAAATACTAGCTCCCAGTACCAGTAGAGCAGGTATTATATGAATTAGACCTGAAAAAAACCCTTGTAAGATAGTTGTCAGTGGGAAAACTGGTGTTTCTAAGGGGTTGCTCTCAGTGGCAGACCTGACACTAGTCAACGTTTGCATCAGTGATCTGCCAGTGAATTTTAAATTACTGCTAATAGAATTTGTGCCAAGACCTATAAGACTCTAAAGCAGTCCAGCAAGACTTTAGAGGTCTAAACTGTATGTCAATTGTTTGAGTCTGATTTTTTTTTTTTTTTTGGTGACTGAAATGAGGTTCATTTGGTCAAATGTAGATGCCTAAAGAAGAGAAATCTCTTTCTGGGCTAGTTTCCCTGACTTCTGTCTGGGCACTGGCCAAAAGCAGGCACTTGTAGAGTGCAGTTCATCCTCACTGTAAGGCAGATATCCAAGTAAGGTCCAACATTTAAAATAAGACGGCTTGAAGTACAGCTAGGGGGAACTGGCTCTTCCCATTAGTGCAGGTGCAGATTTCTCTTTATTGTCCATTACCAGGATGAAGTTGCATGGCAGTTGTCTGATGGTATAATGTAACTATGCATACTTTAACATAGTATGTATTCAAATGCTCAGGATAACAGAGGCTCTGGATGGTTTTGAAATAAAGTGCTGGGGTAGTAAGTATTAAACTTTCATTAAATAATATACCTAAGTTTCATTTTTGAAAGCTGCTGAAATGTCATTACACTGTTTCCATTTTGAATTGTTGATTTAGTTCCTGTGAACTTTGACTAATCATAAAGAAAAAGATAATTTAATTTATCACTGACAGTGAAAGTGCAATCAAGAAAAAAATACTGGTTTCTCTGTTTTCAGATAGCTTTTTGGAAGCGGAGCAAATAAGGAATTGACAGCCATGCTTCTTCACATTTGTGGTTCAATCCAATACGAGCTGTGGCTGAGCTGGGGACCAGCATTCCCGCAGCACAGCTTGGGCAGGGACCCAGTGCCCAGGGCTGAGCTGAAGTGGGGCCCATGGGTGGGGGTGGAGGTACCGGGTGACACTGGTCAGGGCCATTAAGACCTGTGAGTGTCCTCAGGGCCCTGACAATTAGTGAGAGCCCTGCACAGGCTCTTGTGTACAGCCACGACAGAGCAGAGAGCTCAGTACTGTACTGCCTACGGCTTGGCAGCAGCACCACTACCCTTCCACTTATTTTTCACTTACGTAGTGACATTAAACTTTAGCCACTGACTATGTTAAGATTCTCTGTATGCAACATAATATGCTTAAAATTTTAATTCAGCTTGAAAAAAGCAGTATGAATGAATTACTACCTGGTGCAGGTAGTAATTAGGAATTAGGTTGTTGACTATCATGGAATTATGCAAGGCTCTTCTCTGAGGCCTTTGAACTGGAGTGGGTTGGGGATAGTGTTGGTGGTTGTAGAGATAACTAGTCCTGCGGGGGAGAGGAAGGAGCAGCTTCTGCAGTAGGATCTTTGATTTCCCAGGTGGAGATTTTGGCCCTTAGCACAGAGTTATGGTCCGAAACCTAGGTTTTACTCTTACGTTTCACAAAGAAAAGATGGAAAATGCAGGTTATGTTTCTCCCTGGAACTGGATATGAGAACAGATCCTTTCATCTGAGCTTCTAACAACTGAGAAGGGACTGCTGAAATATCATTGTTGCAGCTTTAGCAGGAACACTCAACTAATGTGTTCCACAGTGCCAGTCTGCTTTGTGCCTTACCTGTCCAAAAATCAAAACCTCCTGCTTTCTTGCTGCTTTGACATTCTCTACAATGCAGCAGCATGTGCTCAATATGTATTAGTTAGGAACCTACTATACAAAATAAGTTATAAAGCCAGAGCCTCTGCTTTGAGTGTAGCATCCTTTTTTAAAAATAAATTCATTTAAAATTTCCAATTTTTCATTTCACTGAAGTTGCTAGAACAAAGTACAGAGGCTATACTAAAGCTTAAGTCCATTTTGTCTCCTTCTTTTAGAATGATGCGTTTCAAATGTATTTTTATGTTGTATCTCTGCTTATCTATTAGAAAAGAAATATGTCTAAATCTGATTTCTTGAATTATTAAGTTATTTTCTGCTGGATTTATTTCACAACTCACCTAAAGAGACAGTAGGTGATGTGAACTCGTTTGTGTTTCATGCTAGTTAGTATAATAAGGTCAATGTTTAAAATGTTATTTCCACTTACGAGCTAATGATGAAAAGGCCAGCAGCTCATTGTGTGTGACACTATAGACTGTAAGACGTCAGCAGTATTTCCATCTTCTGATCAGTGCTTCTTGTAGCATGTTCCTTGACAAGATGAGGGAAATATCATGACTGCTTTTTCAGAATATCTCCCACTGTACTTATGTGCCCATGTCACACTTGACATGCCCAGGAAGGAATTAAACTGGAAATAATACCATTATGTAGGTCCCCTGGATATCCTGTTGACTGCCTCTTTTAAATTTTGCTAGTGTTGCAGTCAGGGCTGCATGCAGTTACAGCGCAGATGGAGAGAGACATACTCAGCCATGGCCTTGTCACGCAGCCTGAACTGATCATCTTTCAGCACTAGTTCTCCCGTTCTTCACGTCCTGCTCCAAGTACCCTTTTGCAGTAGGCTGTGAAGCAGCGTCTCATGTTGGGAGTGACTCTTCTGACAGTATGCCTGGGGAGCAGAGGGGTTGACATGATGTGCAGGAAAAATTCATGTCCACATGGATGCTTGGAGCTGGTAAACCAGGCCATTACCTTCAAGGCCCTTTCAAAGCTTAAGGTCACAAAGGAAGGGTCTCCTAATTACTCAAAGATAGACCAAATCATTAAGCCTGGAGGCAACCTCAAGGGTCTGTGTCCTGCCAAATCTCACTGAGGACATGTCAACCTCATGCATCTTTTTCTGCAGCTCAAGAGAAGAGCTCCCAGTCAGTGTACATGCTGCATCCCATGAGGGATGAGGTCCAGGGTGGTCGTGAAACCACACCAGTCCGTGGCCAAGGAACTAGACACCACCAGCTCTGACATCCAGAAACAGGGGATCAGCAGGGCACTGTGTCCATGAGCAAATAGCACCTTCTGCGTCCTCATTACTCCTGTGCAGCAAGCATGGGTTTCATAGCATCCCTCACCTTTTCCCAATGGTGGCCCATAGAGCAATCCCAGATCCTTGTAACCTACGTGTGTGTGTGAGATGGCTTGTGATGAAATAGCAGAAAGACCTGGTGCAAAATGCCCCATGTGGTGACACTGCATTGTGAGTTGGAACCATCAGAGCAAGCTTTGCTGTTGTGCAGGACCTGGAAACGTTAGGCATAGGACTGTTTGCTGATAATGTCCTCTTGAACGTGGGAAGAGAATAGAGTAATGTCCAAGACCTTACCTATAGAAGCTGCAAAATCTGGGACTTTTGATCCATGCTGCATGGTGCTGTGCTTGTAGGAGGGCAGGAGAAGGAAAATTCGTGGCAATAAGAAACCTGGAGGTATCTGCCGTGGTGCCACATCTCTAGCGTGTTGCAGAAATACCAGACCCCCTCGCTATGTTGCATCCCTTCATTTGCACCTTTCCTCCTGTCCAGAGACTCTGTTGGACCCAGCAGGAAATACCGGACTCCACCTCTGGTGCATCCACTAAGTCTCACCTGCTGTATGCCAGATCTCCATTCCCATTCCTCCGAAAAACAGGCAGGGAGTAATGGCCTGGTTCCCAGTGTTGTGCTTGGGGTCCACCTGACCCCAAGTGGGGGGGAAAGCTGAGGGGGGAGCCAACCTCTCTTGGGAGGTTTCTCAGCTGATGGAGAAACACTGTTTTATGTTATGGCTGGGCATGAAATACTTCTTTCATCCTACAGATCTTCCTCAGTATGAAAAATGTTCTGCTTTGCAGTAGAGCAGATGTCAGGTTTCTTAAAAGTTTTTCCAGAGGGGAACTGGGCTGCAAGCACCACAGATGGAACACCTTGCAGAGCCCCAAACTGTCATCATTTGTCTGCCTATGCCTGGGAATTTTGGACCCAGTTGTCTTGCACCCAAAGCAGAGAACCCAACTGCAAGGTGAATCGCCTCGTTACAGAGCCCAGGAGAGCATTCCCCTTGGCTTAGCACAAGGATTTCAGCCATGGA